AATGTACTCGGCCATTTCTAATTGACTGGAGAAAAAAAAGGAAAGGAAAACAAACAAACAAAAAACTCCACTGGAGTTAATTTACAGATCTAAGTTTGATGTTCCTTTTCAGGAGCATCTAAGTTGTTTTCCATACTCACACACCTATATGGTTTAGTGGAGGATATATTGTTATGTAGGGAACACTGGTACTCACAGAAGACGGGTGAAGGATGAAGCTGATCTGTTCTGTGTAGCTGAATGGTCGAAACTCGGCAATGAGAAAGGTATCATTTTTATTGTGCAATACTTTATGAATTCCTCCATTGTCTGCGGAAAACCACAAAAAGAAGCAGGGATGATACTAAATATTAAAACCCATCTAAATGCACGAATGCACCTCAGCCACCCCACTCTCTCTGTCTGAGGTTCTGATACTTTATACAAAACAATTTTTGGTCTTCAAACTCAGGTAAACCCGTTGAATAATATTATATTCTTTTAATACATTCATAATTACATGGCTGTGATCACAGCACCTCCCGCATCAATCAAGGAGATTTGGTTACTGCACTATTTTCGCCCTGAGGTATTATCTCAGATATACACAAACATACATTATAGCATATTCTTCTTAGCATTTTTACTACTTCAGATTATTGTTTTTACTCACTTAAAGATAAGAAGATAACAGTGTGGTGACTGGTTCTCCTGTTTGGTGAGTCGTCAATTTGGATGTGAGTATAGTTCTGGTGATTGAAGAGAAGAAGGCCAGAGGTACCCACAGGATGAACCAGCTGCTCCATCTCTGAAGTCTTTTCAATCTTCTTCAGGGTTTCCACTGGAAGCTTGGTGGTATCATCAATGCACTGAAGAAATGAAGTGCTTAACTTAGAATGGCTGAACACCAGATGACTGGTCAACAAGCATGTAAACCTAGGGTTTACTTTTTCAGTTTCCAAGTGACTGTTTTAAAAACAAATCTAAAACCTTTTAATTTAGTATTTTAATTAATTTAATATCGTAAAGGTGAAAGAAAAATATTTAAAAGCTATTTTTCACTCAGTGACTACACTTAACCATTGGTTTAAATTATAATAAAGGGCTATTCTATTCTTGTCTATATACTCTGACCCCCCAAAAAGGCAGGGATCTTCTTGTGATGGTAGCTGTTATTAAATTTTTCACTTTAGACCAATTTGAATATTCCATACCCTCCTTGGCCTGTCCATCTCAGCTTTTGTGTAGCCTTTGAATGGGGAGTTTGTGAAGATTTTGTCAATGTCTCCTATTGTGTAGATGCAGACAGCACTCATCCCCCTGCAGGGAGACACATTGTAGGTTTGTCTGAGACATTTGCAGCAAAATAAGTAGACTGGTCCAAGGTAAGAAAAAAAAGAGAAAGAGAGAGTTGAAAAAGCAGCTGACCACACAGAATGAGAGATAAGAAACTGGTAGGGAACGGCTTAAAAAGAACAAAGTGTCCTTTTATCACCATGAAAGGATATTGTTTGGAAGTTTGGAAGCAGATGATTCGATTACACAAATAGCTAGTCACAGAAACAGAGTAAATGATAACTATATTATTATTATTAGCATCAAAATAAATATCATCAGAGTCCTACCACTCATTTCTAAAGAGTGCATAAATCTTTGTATCCTGCCATCGATCTGCATCCACAGTGGAAACATCCACCAATTCAGAGAAATGCTGTTTTCTGTTACGATCTCCACAGAAGAGCCTGGCATTCATCTGGGATGTCCAGGTAAACTGCAAATTGTTCTTGGGACCACCAACATCTGTCTAGAAGCAATGGACAGTCAATCAGTCATGATGTATTTATGTTTATTTAATTTTTTAATGTTGGTGGCACTATTTTGGTCTTACCATGCAAACCTGGGTCACAAAGGGGAGCCACATTTCACTGAACAGTCCATTGTCTTTGCTTTTCTCCCTATAGAAGCCATAAACTCTGTTCTGGGAGGGATCCTCTTCA